GGAGTCATGAACACTGGCCTTAACTGAGGCAAGTGAGGCCTGCAGTTCTTTGGATGTTGTTGTGGGGTCTTTTGTGACCTCTTGGATGAGTCGTCGCTACGCTCTTGGGGTAATTTTGGTCGGCTGGCCACTCCTGGGAAGGTTCACCGCTGTTCCATGTTTTCGCCATTTGTGGATAATGGCTCTCACTGTGGTTCGCTGGAGTCCCAAAGCTTTAGAAATGGCTTTATAACCTTTTCCAGGCTGATAGATCTCAAACACTTTGTTTCTCATTTGTTCCTGAATTTCTTCAGATCACAGCATGATGTCTAGCTTTTGAGGATCTTTTGGTCTACTTCACTTTGTCAGGCAGGTCCTAATTAAGTGATTTCTTGATTGAGAACAGGTGTGGCAGTAATCAGGCCTGGGTGAAATTGAACTCAGCTTTCCAAAGATGTGATAAAACACAGTTAATTTATGTTTTAATGGAGTGGGCAATCACTTTTTCACACAGAGCCCTGTAGGTTTGGATTTCTTTTTCCCTTAATAATAAAGACCTTCATTTATAAACTGCATTTTGTGTTTACTTGTGTTATCTTTGTCTACTATTTAAATTTGTTTGGTGATCTGAAATATTTAAGGGTGACAAACATGCAAAAGAATAAGAAATCAGGAAGGGGGCAAACACTTTTTCACACCACTGTATGTTCCATATAATTGATCCTAAGAGTTTTTGAAAAGAGTAACTGATACATAATGGAATTTTTTTTAAATAATGTTTCTCCGATAAAAGATAAGGTGATAAAGATGATATTAATCATAATGTAGCATTGATATTTGTTGTATGTGTAAAGCTCACTCTAAACAATGTACCTTAAGAAAAGCATTCTTGAAAGTTGTCTATAATGCATTTTGGAATTAAATCCTTCAGTTATTCCACATTATTCTTTACGTTTTTAATGCTGTCACATGTGTTTGGAGAGAATATTTGAGTTTTAAAAGTGCTTATCTTCTGTGAACAGAGAGACCAAAGGCTAAAGTGAAAGTGCAGCCAGCTGAGCATGTGTTCATCAGAGAGACAGTCACTCTCACATGTGACATAGAAGGTGGAGATGTCTGGAGTTACGAGTGGTTTAAGAATAATAAACGTCTCAGTGAAGCTGAAAGGAAGAAGAAATATGAAATCTCTAATGCTGATCAGTCTGATGAAGGTGATTATAGCTGTAAGGGAACAAAGTCAACAGAGCCGCGCTACTCAGAGACCAGTGATGCTGTTAGACTGACTGTATCAGGTGAGTCTCATCTTTCTCTCTTTATTTCTGTCATTAACAGTTAAAGTGTAGAGGAGTTTTATTACTGCACAAATATCATCCTATAAAGTTAAGAAGTGATAAAGGAGGATCAGCACAATTCTCTTTAAAACACATAGTATTTTAGAAACCCCTGTGAGCTCAGAGCTCTCAACTCATAAACACAAACAAGAAAAAGTGTTAATCGAATGGTGAATAGAATGTGGTGTAAGAATTAGATATTAGTATCAGGGGGTTTAAATTAGTTGTGTTTCTTTCTGCTCTGCTGGTTCTTGTCTCACACTGTTATAGAGCTTCTCATTTAAATAAACAGAGATCTCACTTTGGTGTTGGTTAGTCTGTGCACCAAGCAGTTTCTCCAATATATTTTACAATTTATATACAGATTTCAAATTTGATCCAAATAAATCTGCCATTCAAATATATGTATAAATGTATGTAAATATTCCAAACATAATCATTAAAATATATGAAATAATATGTTGAGGGTATTGAATCAAATGCAGCACAAAAGACTGTTTAAAGTGAACATATAATTTTATTTGCATAATACAGGTTGTGCATTTATATTTGGTGTAATGTGTTATTGCAAAAAAAGCTGAATGAGCACAGTGCTGTCTGTGCATTGCTTTTTCTAAATGTGTTGAACTCTTTTGAATATTGAAGTGAACTTTTAATATATTTCAAAACACAAGTGAAAGAAAACATACATTTCCACTTATATTTGTGAATATATTTCAATAGTCTTATGCTGAAGTTTGGACACTCCTGGTCAAATGATGCATTTTGTTGATTTTCTGAAAATAAGTTACACATCTTCTACAGAGACACACTACTGCACATTTTAATGCACTGTTACTCTTTATTTGCTGAATTTAACATGTTTGGAAAGAAAAACATAAAATATGACCTGTGTAGATATTATGGCATTTTGAATAGAATATGGCAAATTCTGTTTTATGTTTTATTATTATTATTTCATAAATGTTTATGTTTTTACGTTTATTTTTTCCAATATGTTAAGCTCAGCAAATAACAGAAATTGTGCACTTAAATTTGCAGAACAAAGACCTATTTAAGTGTGTTCTCTGTAGAGGATGTGTAACTTTTTAACTTACAATTTCAACAAAACATCATTTGACCAGAGTGCTCAAACTCTGGTATATGACTGTATAAATAATGTGTTTAGACATAACTGTGAATGTATAACAGTGGATAAAAACAAGTAATTAAACTTTATTTCACAACTTTATTCAATGTCTGTTTATTCAATTAGGAATTTGTAGCATGAACACTTTATACTGTTTAGCAACATTGGAGGAAAATCAAACTACTGTAAATGTTCTGCCTGTAGTGACTCGGAGAACCAATTTCTTAGTGACCTGCTCGAGTGGGTAGAATGTTACTTTAAGATAATATAAGGTGATAAAGATGATATTGATCATAAAGTAGCATTGATATTTGTTGTATGTGTAAAGCTCACAAATAATCATCCTGAACCTAAATTTAAAGAATGATAGTACATTAGTACATTTCTCTTTGAAACACACAGTATATAAGACATCTCAAAGAGCTTAGGACACCCAACTCATAAACACTGGATACAGTAGAGAAAGACAATGAAATTTTAGTTTGAGTTGACAGACACAAAGTGGATAATACAATGAGAGTAAAACCCACACACACACACACACACACATATGCTGATGAGCCAAGGCATTATAACACAGGTAAAGCGATTAATTCTGATTACCTCACAACAGCAGAGTGTGACAAAATCTGGGATATATTAGACCACATGTGTCAGGCTTCAGTCCTCGCAGGCCAAAACACTGCAGACTTCAGCACACTGCCAGATTACGCATACCTGATTCAGCTCATCAGCTAATTAGTAAGGTCTTCATGAACTGAATTCATAGTGTTAGATGAGGGTAAACGCTAATGTCCACAGCACTTTGGCCCAGTTTGACATGCCTGTATCAGACGGTAAGTGAACAGTCAGTTCTCGCAGTCAACATGTTTGATGTGGAAAAATGGGCACACTGTTAAAAAATAAAATTCAGCTCATATTAAATATAGGAAAGCACAGTTTGGTTGCGTCCCCCACTCATAAAATAGCTTTAAAATAGCAGCCTGACTACACTGTTTCACTGCCCAAACGTTTTTCCTCTCCCAATTTCAGTTTACGTCATACAGCCACGTTAAACTTGGACTACTGAGGAGAGTTTGTACTGCTGCTGTAGCTAAACTTAATAACATTGACATTTTTGCCATTAGAGACACTTTTTTGGATTACTGCCTCTGATACTGTCTGCTACAAGCTGTTGTGTAACATGAACATACCTTTAATCATCTGAAAATTGTGAAATTAATGTAAATTATTGAGGGAAGAGCACAGTTTAGATGTTTGCTGGCTTGCTAGTTAGCTAAACGTGTGCTACTTTGTCCTGCTACAGCTTATTTTCTGGTGTAAAACAATGGAATTGCCATCAGTAAAGTGGTTGCATGTTAGTAGCTTGCTAAGTTAAATCTTGGGGATTCATGAGTTGTTTAGATTGTGACTGAAGAATTTTTGATGGGCTAATATCTGAGAAAAAACACACAGCAAACATTTTCAGTTAGTTTACTATTTAAAAGAAGAGGATACAAGTATGTACCAGTCGTCAGGATGGTAAACGGGGGTCTCTTCTCGATGTTGATCAGCTTGCACCTTGTATTGACACAGGATTCGGTCAATACATTGATGGGAGTTCTCTCATACATCCTCACTCCACTGCATCCAGTCCTCTACGGCTGGGATGTCCTAAGCAGTAGCCATCCAGGGCATTAGAGGAGCTTGGTAGCCTAGGATACACTGGAACGGAGTCAAACCAGTGGTAGAATTGAGCAAAGAGTTCTGAGCCATTTCTGCTCATGGCAGAAACCGAGCCCAGTCAGAGTGATTATCATGACAGTATAGCCTCAAAAACCCTATTCCCTATTCTTGATTAGCTTTTTCGCATTGGCCATTGATCTAAAGATGATATCCTGATGTTAAGCTGACTCCAGAATAGTCTCTTGGTAGCTTCTTTGAGGAAAGCATGATATGATTTTGTGATATTGCTCACACATACTGGGGATAAAACAGTTTGGTGGGTCAATTATACATATGATCAAGATAGCCGCGTGAAAAAACCCACAAATGTGAGTATTTTCTCTGTTAAAAATGACATTAACCATTGTATTGTCTTAGTTTAATGTCGTTTCAATGTATTATGGTCTTTTTCTTCATGACAAGCATAAAAAATAGCATGCTAATGTCTTGGTAGCTATCTATCTAATTTTCCCGTTCCACCTTAAATAGTCCAGCAGAGTTCTGATGCCTGAATCGCCAGAATGTAACTGCTGCACCATTTAAGGTGGAATGGGAAAATTCGAGCAAGAAGCTGTTGAATAGCTGACTTCAGCTTCGTATTGTGACACTGCCACATGAAAGTTCTTTTTAAAAAGTTTGTATGTGCAGATTCATCAAAAACATTCTGTAGAATTTTGTAGGTATGTAATTACTGATTATAACCCATTTTTATTTGTCAGCCACCTGACTAACACTAAATTATGTGTGGAAAAAGATGAGCTATAGAGCTAACAGTTCATTTGTTTAGTATTAGTTATGTTAGTATTTAAAAACATGCTGCAATTCATGTCTTCTCTCTGTTTTTCAGCTACGTCTCCTCCAGTCTCACTGATCATCAGTCCCAGCAGAACTCAACACTTCATTACTGACCGTCTCTCTCTGAGCTGTGAGGGACAGAGTGAGTCTACTGGATGGAGAGTGAGACGATACACACACAGTGGGAAAGTGTCAGATTGTTCATCAGACAGAAGATCAGTTACAGGATCTACATGCAACATCAGCTCCATCTCCACATCCCACACTGGAGTTTACTGGTGTCAGTCTGAGTCTGGAGGGAGAAGTTCTCCTGTCAATATCACAGTGCACAGTGAGTCTATATTAATCCTGTCAGTGATGGGAATCTAATAATGGAATAATTGGAAGAAATGCTGAAATCACAGGTGTTGTAATAAAGCATGAAGACCAATGTTTCAGTAAATACTAGTTTGAAATGTAGATATTGAAAATGAATAAAAAAAAGAAATATTTCAGCATCCACACAGGAAAACTCTGTATCAGTCCAACTCCAACACACTATCACTGATATCTGCTGATGAAGTCTCTGTGTTAAGATCATTACTGTGTCCTGCACGCTGTTTTCATTATTGTCTCACTCTTTACCCTCTGTAGAGAGAAGTTTGTCCCGTATTGTAATGCAATGCACACTACTTTACTTTTCCATAGTGACAGGCAGAATATCTGCCAAAATGCAAATCTAAACTAAATCTATCACATTTTTACCTGACAACTGAGCTCTTCACTGAAAAACATACATGCACAAGAAACTGGTGTTAAAAAATGAAATGCTGAATTTGTTCCTTTTTGAAATGTAATCAGTGCACAACTATATTATTTTGCACCGTAAAATACTTCAAACATATGTGCTTCACTGAAATACTGTTATGATTGTATAAAAAGTAAAATGCAGTGTACACAGGAGATTGTGTTTAAAAAACAACTTGCAGAAAACATGACAAAATGAAAAGTGAAAGATTCATTATACTGATTAAATGCTGATTAAATGCTGTTTGAACTGCTACATGGTGGAAAGCAGTATAGCTGTTGATTTTACGATGGACTGTATTAAATTCTGACAGAAATTCAGCTTTCTGTTTTGCAATGCATTGCTTTTCAGTAGAGAGTTCAAGCAACTTTTCATTTTTCATTCTGCATTTCATGTAGTTACTTTATCACAAATTCCTCTACACTCCGGTCCTACAGATGGTGATGTGATCCTGGAGAGCCCTGTTCATGCTGTGACTGATGGAAATTCTCTGACTCTCCGCTGTTTATATCGCTCAAAGCCCTCAAACCTCACAGCTGATTTCTATAAAGATGGATTTCTCCTTCAGACCCAGACTACAGGAGAGATGACCATCAGTTCTGTCTCAAAGTCAGATGAAGGTCTCTATCACTGTAAACACTCAGAGAAAGGAGAGTCACCAAAGAGCTGGATCTCAGTCAGAGGTTTGCTGCTTTTAACAGAAAAAAACATCTTAAAACTGTCATTTTATGTTCATGTTCTTGAGAATCTGTGTGTGCGTGCGTGCGTGCGTGCGTGCGTGTGTGTGTGTGTGTGTGTGTGCGTGGGTGTGTGTGGGTGTGTGTGTATCAGGTCTGTCTGAATCAGGTCTGTCTGAATCAGGAGCTCCATTCTCAGTCCTCAGTCTGCTCAGTAGTCTACTGGCAGTGTCTCCATATCTGCTGGTGTCCATCATACTGGGAGTTAAATGCTACAGAGCTCAAGGTGAGAACTCTTCCTGTGTGTTTCTTCAGTAGTGAATCACTCAGAAGAAGCTCATTTTAATCCTCACTGAATCAGAAATGTCTCTGTTAGCCTGATTAAAGGCTAATTTGAACTGTTCATTCTGTATTTCACAGCTAAACCTGATGAGGCGAGCAGAACGTAAGCGCTGATAGAAGCTGGAACATCCTGCTTAGTGCTGAATACCAAGCTTCTACATTATGATTTTAGGTCTGTCTGCTTTTAAGACCATTTTAGAAATCACTCAATCCGGCAGGTCAGACTTTAAAAATAACAGCTTTATTCACTGAAACATCCAGCAGGTCATTTATAGTCTCGGTGAGTGAATGCTGTGGTGCTGTTATTGAGCCTTTCAACACAAATAATGAGCAAAATACTTTCTGATTTTGTACTTAATAAATGTTTATCTTATGTTATGTACAAACATTTCCTAGTTTTAGTTTGAATGCTTTTTTGTCTCCATAAGCGTTGACCATTTGCCTTGCTTTTTTATTTTCACACCGCAACAAACATTGGATATAAGCAAAACATGCAGAATTGTTTAAGTGATACATTTGTTTAAAGAGATTTCATAACTGGTTACATATGCTTAGAAAAGTTAGAGAAGCTCAATTAGTAACATTTGAAAAGGTGAGCGATTTTAATAATTGTTCTTATTTTATTTTCAGTAATATTTTTTCTTGGGGCATTTTTGTCATATTTCATTGTCAGTACTAAAACATATAGTAAAGTACAGTAAACATAAGCAAAGTGTGATTTTGTCTATACTTTAGTGTTCAAAAAAAAAGAAAGCATGACATTTTATAAAGTTATAGTTCACTCCATATTGTGTTTATGTGCTTATTCTGAATGAATAAAATATTGTGTGGTAAATATTTGGTCTTTTTTTAGTGTAAAGATTATTGTACCATTTAGAACAATTCAGCACCATATGCTAAAGGATTTGAGTGTGTTTTGAATTGAGTTTTATTCTTGAGTTGGGCTGTAAATGCTAGAAAAGTGATCTGCTCACCAACAACATAGTTTCTTAACGTAACCTATAGCACATAATCTATGCTGCAGAAAGTAGCACACTGTGCATTCAAAGCTGGAAATGACTGTCATCAATAAATTACTATAATTATTATTTAGTACTGCAGTAAGCAGTCATTTCTCCATAGCTCTAAATAAAAAGAGATTGAGATTAGCTTCAGTTCTCTCTAAACATCTGATGCAGAAACATAAAATGCTGCAGTTAACAATAAAAAAAAATCTGGAGTTTTCACTGAAACAGAGCCAAATCCTTTAAGCCAAAAGTCAAGCCTCTCCAATACAAGAAGAGGTTAACACAGGAGACATTGCTATTGGACAATTTTTGTCATAAGTTATCTGGTTAACTGACAAACCCTTTTTGGTGGATTGGTTGTGATCTCTTTCACATTGAGGATGTAGATGGTGGAATTTCAGGCATCCTCTTGGGTACATCAGCAGAAGGTCCCTGGTTGGAGACACTGCAGCAGGGGTGGCACCCCACCTCCAAAAGTGGTGGGGCAAAATTTATTGGCCCAACGATTTAATAGAATCTTCCACACTCAACTTCAAGTTCACTTGCATTCAACAGATATTTAGTTGAATGTTGCTTAAAAATATACTGAGCATCTACAAAGCATCTACAGTGGACCATCCAAATAAAGTGTTACCATAATTTCTTATTTTAAAAAAGTAGTTGATGTCTTTTGAGCTAGTTTGAAGAACATTGTTTGGCTCCAATTTCTCCTTGATGCCCCCAGCCAGCACATAGATGTATTACATTCCATCACCAGCACATTTGATTTGGTTTGATTAACCAAACTAGGTACTGTGTGATAACTACAGTTACTGCTGGGCAGAGGTTTGGAAATAGCTAAACAAAGTCACTGAAGTATCTTAAATCACTACCTGCCCCTCTGGCACCTTGACTTTTATAAGTGTTATGCTGTGTTCCTCATGGAAAAAAGAAAACATGGAGATCCACAGAATTTGTACCCTGCTTTTTCTTTTCTAGGTCAGGTATATATTTTTCACTTTCCCTGCCAAATTTAGCATTTTTGACATGTGGAAAAGGTTGCATTATACTTCACATCTGGTACTTCACAACTTAAGCATTAGCAAGAATGCAGAGTTTCCCACGTGTAAATAGACTTCATCTGCTTTTCAAATGTGATTTACAATTGGGAAAAGTGGTATTTTCCAGTTTCTGATGCTACTAGAAAACATGCTCTTAATACTCCTGGTCTCCAATCACAGTGACAACACAGGGCCCACCTATTTACGTACATTTGTGCAAAGCTTCTCCTCCTTTTTGTTTTACATCAAAAATAACATGCACAAAGCACTGACAACAAACAAATCTAAACAAAACACAGGATGTTTTGGGTGTAATTGTTGTAGCTCTGGTGTATGCTGTGTGAGACTGCTTCTACAAACATTTGTGAAAGAATGGGTCGCTCTCAGGAGCTCAGTGAATTCCAGCGTGGTACCATGATAGGATGCCATTCCAGTCGTGAAATTTCCTCGCTACTAAATATTCCACAGTCAACTGTCAGTGGTATTATAACAAAGTGGAAGCGATTGGGAACGACAAAAACTCAGCCACAAAGTGGTAGGCCACGTAAAATGACAGAGCGGGGTCAGCGGATGCTGAGGCACATAGTGCACAGAGGTCGCCAACTTTCTGCAGAGTCAATCGCTACGGACCTCCACACTTCATGTGGCCTTCAGATTAGCTCAAGAACAGCGTAGAGAGCTTCATGGAATGGGTTTCCATGGCCGAGCAGCTGCATCCAAGCCTTACATCACCAAGCGCAATGCAAAGCGTCGAATGCAGTGGTGTAAAGTGCCGCCTCTGGACTGTAGAGCAGCGGAGACGTGTTCTCTGGAGTGACAAATCACGCTTCTCCATCTTGCAATCCGATGGACGAGTCTGGGTTTGGCGGTTACCAGGAGAACAGTACTTGTCTGACTGCATTGTGTGTAAAGTTTGCTGGAGGGGGGATTATGGTGTGGGGTTGTTTTTCAGGAGTTGGGCTCGGCCCCTTAGTTCCAGTGAAAGGAACTCTTAATGCTTCAGCGGACCAAGAGATCGTCCATCCCAACAGTCAATCCTGATATATTAGTATTTGTTCTAATAGATTCAGCTGAAGGTTCTATTACTAATTTATATAATAACGGCAAAAATGGGCAGCCTCAAACACAACCTCTGTGCTCTTGTGTTATATTCCAACATATCATTAATAACAGGCATTAATATGGGACTTATCTCAGGCCAGAACACCTTAGACAATTCTAAAAGATATCCATCCTGGCCTGGTGATTTACCAGAAGGCAGTGATTTAATAGCCTCCAACACCTCTTCAGGAGTAAAGGGAGCATTCAAAATAGCACGGTCTGCTTCCGAAATAGTGGGCAGAGGAATCGCATATAGGTAAGCTGTTGTCACCTCAATTGAGCTTGAGCAATCAGATTTATAAAGCAATTTGTAAAAGTCTTTAAGTGTAATATTGGTCAAATCGTAGGTCATAGACCTGGAGGATGTTTTTATGGCCTTAATACATCTTTCATTTTGCATTGTTTTCAACTGATATGCTAGAAGACGACTTGGTTTGTTTCCAAATTCATAGTACGTTTTTTTAGTAAGAAATATAGATTTTTTTGCCTGATATGTATATTTCACATTAAGCCTTAGTTTTGCGCTTGTTAGTAGGTTCCAGTTGGTTTGCGATGGTTTTTCTAAACAAATGACCTCAGCTTCAAGATCTTTCTTTTTTGTGCCTGTAATTTTGCCTGCAATGATGTGTAAGCAATGAAGTGACCTATTAAAGTAGACTTAAAAGCATCCCATATGGTTGCTGAAGTAGGGGAATGCTAGTTGTCCTGCCAGTAGATATTTTCTCTGATATATGAACAGAACGATTCCATATTCAATAATGAGGAGTTTAGCCTCCAGTAAATTGATCTTGGAACTATCATGTTAGTGTCAATCTCCAGATAGACTGGGCTATGGTCTGACAATGCAATAGGGCCAGTCCTACAACTACCACATGCATAAGGTTGAAAGCTATAAAGAAACAGTCTAATCTGGAATATGAATTATGTGGATAAGAGTGAAAAATGTAGTCCTTATCTGTGGGTGAAATTCTCGCCATACATCCACTAAAGCCGAATCTTGACACAAGAACTTGAGAGCGTGGGAAGATTTGGATTGGCCGTTGGTGCTGAAGAAGATTTATCCTGACTAGCATTCGGTATGCAGTTAAAGTCGTCTGCTAAGCCCGAGAACTTTACAATACTGACTGAATAGCAGAACCACTTGAGACATACATTAGGGACAATCTTTATTTGGAGCTTATATGTTTAAGATAGTAAGGTGCTGACCAAAGATAAAGCCTGTGACCAAAACACAACCCCACTTCCAAAAAAGTTGGGACACTGTGTAAAAAGTACATAAAACAATATGCAATGATAAGGAAATCATGTAAACCCTGCATTTAATTGAAAATAATACCAAGACAACATAACAAATGTTTAGACTGAGGAAGTGTATTGTTTTTTGAAAAATATATGCCCATGTTGATGTTTTCCACTGTGCTGCATCACCTCTTCTTTTAACAACACTCTATTTGGAATTGTTTTCTGTTTTTGCTTGATATACGACTTTAGGTGCTCAACAGTTCGGGATCTCCTTTGTTGTAGTTTTCATTTCATAATGAAGCCATGCTGCTGTAATACATGCGGAATGTGATTTGGCCTTGTCTTGCTAAAAAAAGCAAGACCTTCCCTGAAAAAGACGTTTTCTGAATCGCAGTAAAATGTTGCTCCAAAACCTGCATATATGGTTCAGCAACAATGTTGCCTTCACAGATGTGCAAGTCCCCCATGCCATGTGCACTAATGCACCCCTATACCGTCATGAATACTGGCTTTTGAAGTGTGCACTGATAAAAGGTTTGGTGGTCTTAATCCTAGAGAACGCAGCATCCACGATTTCTAAAAAGAATTTAAAATGTTGATTCGTCAGACCACAGGACACTTTTCTACTTCACCTCAGTCCATCTTAAATGAGCTCAGGCCCAGAGAAGGCAGCAGCGTTTGGATCCTGTTTATTTATGGTTTCTTCTTTGCATGGTAGAATTTTAACTTGCATCTGTGGAAGTGAGGAAGTGAGTGAGTGGTTTTCAGAAGTGTTTCTGAGCCCATGCAGTGATTCCTGTCAGTTTTCAATGCACCTGAGGGATCACGGCCAGCCAATAACGGTTTTTGGTCTTGTACTTTGTACACCGAGATTTTTCTGGATTCTCTGAATCTCTAATGACACTATGTTCCATAGATGACAAAATCTCCAAATTCTTTGCTATTGTACATTGATAAATGCTATTCTTGAGTTGTTGGCCACGTAGTCTTTCACAGAGTGGTGAGTATCTTTACTCCCCACCTCTCAGATGCTCTTTTTATATCCATTCATGTAACTGACCTGTTGCAAATTAACCTAATTAGTTGTGAGACGTT